GAATGATGGTTACGGTACATAAGAAATTACAAGAATGCAGATTAAAACTTATTTGGCAATTCAGCTAAACCGGAAAAATTCGATTCCTGGAGTATTTCATGTGACATATCTTCTGGTCACATAAGTTTGATAATATGTTTAATTTTCTTAGGAGTGAATTAACCTGTGTGTTTGGTGTTTATTAATGCAATGCACAGGTCAGAACAAAATAATCATTTGAATTTTGTAACAAATCTTCTATAATCTTCTTTGTAAATAGGATATGGATGATGGAACTCTGGAGGATGCTGTGAGTTTTAGAAATGATTTATTGTTCTTGACGCTTAAATATATATCTTCCCCCCAAAATCAGCCTGTTATTTTTTCTTTTTATCATAACTGTACATTTGAGCAGAACTTTTTTTTCCCTCTCTGACAGAATTTGCTCAAAATGTCACTTAATAGTTACATGTATTTACTCATTCAGTCTGGTTATTTTGCTTAATTCAGGATGTGCATTTTGGTGATTTGGATCTTTACAGTGAAGATGCTTGGATGTCAGTGTCTGTTAGTTTCAACCCTTACCAATGTGACTTGTCACCCTTGACTGTAAGTTACAGTGTACTTTACTTACTAGTGGCTGTGCATGTACTTTCAGGTACATGTAGGGTTTACCAAATGCCATGTGGCAGTGTTGAGCAACATGTAAACAAGGCAAGGCATTCAGGCTGAGTGGAGCCTGGAAACATTGATGCATGCCGTACACTGTGCCATGTTGTGTGACAATGTGAAATAGATGATGTTTCATTTTTCTCCAACAGTCAATTATATAAATTATAAGCATATCATGATGGCACATTATCAAGCATTTAATATTTTGATGGCATGTCGATTATAGCTTCCAGCTCAATTTCAATTCTAATCAATTGTTAGCTTCCCACTTAGCACATGGAATGTGGTCCATCCAAAATAGAGTGACGTCGAGTTTGACAAGTGCCAGTTGCTTTGTTCTGTTTGTATGACCCAGCATACAGTCATGTAACTAATCATTGCATCTAATACTATGCACAACATAATGTTTTCTAACCAATGGGTGGATGTGTTGGATTATTTACAATGTATTTAGCGCTATATAAATTTTATTATTATTATTATTATTATTTGTACTGGTTTTCTACTCATCCTGTTTTTATACCACGCTCAGGATTAAGTGCAAAGCACAACGTATCCCTAAATAATACTGTCTTGAGCATAAAAGTTAAAAGAGAATTTAATTCACTCCAAGCAAACAGGGATATTTGTCTACTTTCTTCTCCAGACATTTGCTGCACCTGATTGCACTGAGTATGAAAAGGCCATATTGAAAGCTATAGAGGATTCAGGTATGGATTGATCTTGAGTACATGAACTGGGGGTGGTCAATAGTCCTTCAAAAACCATGGGTCCTGAAAAATTTTTGTTGAATTTCATGGGTCTCGCAGTCTTGATCTTTTTCAGCTGCTATGTGAATGTTCATCTCGCAGTCTTGATTTTTTTCACAAAGCTCTCACCAATTTGTTTGTTTGTCTTTATCACTGATGTCTGAACATCTCAGTCTTGCAGTCTGAACATCTTGCCCTTGTGTTTAAAACATTTGAGGTCTTGGTATCACAATTTAAAAAGTCAGAACTCACCTTCTCGTAAGTGTCACATTTACTCTTCACCATCCCTAGTACTGGTCAAACAGGCATGACAAGCAGACATGCCATGTTGCTACTGTCACTATTTCCATCTTACCGTAGGTTCCTCTTGTGTGGATTGGTTTCTACCTTTTTTTGTAATCATATCGGCTTAAATTCGCTTGGTTGATTGATTGTTTTCTTTTTCCAGATGTAGTAGATGATCAGGAAATCAATTTGGTATGTAAAATCAATTGACCAAACTTTACCAAATGTATTATTGAGTGACTGTAGAAGATGGAAGAAACTTAACAAGTGGTATAAAAGTTATTTTTTTTCCTATACATAGGGGCAGACATTGTTTGAACATGTGGAGATGTGCTGCACTTCAGAGAGGAATATAAAGTGAGTGGAATGATAAATTTCATATTTCCAGCACTTTCCTCAACTTTTATGTCTAGTTAAAAGCAAAATTTTTCAACTAGTAAAACCAAAACCTGTTTTGGCTCAACAGATGGATTGAGCAAATAGAAGAAATACCTAAACTTCTGATTCCAGGGCTGGTAAGTTAGTTGACATCTTTTTAGATTTGGTAAACTATGAAATAATAGTCAAAAGAGTGAACAGCAAGCAACATTTGGTCAAGGATGTTCTGATAAAGGTTCACACAAAAACATGAATCAGTTGCTAGTCGAGTGGACGGTTGGTACTTAGGCCTTTCGCAACATCCCTTTCTGCTTACTCTGCTTATTAATCCACAGAAAATAAGACGAAGTTGCTGATCACTCGCCTTTGGCCCGAGTAGTCACAAATTCTGTTGCTTTCTAGTGCTTGTTACTCCCCCTGTTTTCACAGGAGTGATGAGAAAGCTCATTGAGTGGATCATGTATTCCTTGGATATTGAGATGGCTCAGAAACTTCCCATAGCGGTGAGTTCTGACAAAACCACAGAAACAGTCTGGTAATGTAAGAAATTGTACAGGAAAAAAAATGCTCAGATAACTCTCAAGTGAGCTTAAATTCAGCTGCAACAGTTTCTTTAACACTAAAAACATGGAGTTCATGGAAAGGAGGCATATAATTATTTATTTCTTAATCATACAGGTGTTGTATTTTACTGGAGGTTTGACCGTATAATCCTAGCTTTGGTTATTGTTCTTCCTCAGGCTAATATTCGATTGATAAAGGCAGGACTCAAACTTGTTGGTGCAATGTGTTCTTGTGGATCAGATGTTGCTTCAGTTCTCATTGTAAGTTGTTCATTGATTTGTTTGTCCCACAGGCCTTGTAGTAAAAACTTTATACAGCCACATTAATTTTGTTTTGTAGGGGTGTTGGATTTTTCTTTAATGCCTAAGATGCTGCTTGTCATCCAGTTTTTAGCACCTGCAATGTAGTCTTGTTAGCTGTGTAAGACCCACATACATCAGCAACACAAGCAGGATTGCAATGTGCAATCTTTTTTTTCCTTTCATCTTGGCAGGAAACTGGAGTGCAAGAGACTCTTGGTAAACTTCTGACTACAGAGCACATGTCATCTTCAATGAAACTGCTAACCCTTCAAGGTTAGTCTTTGGTGAATTTTGTTGTTTCAAATGTAATAATATCAAGTTCCTTGATCCAAGGTTTCTTGTGAGGCTACATAATGCCAAACTAGACTTTTCCCAAACTATTCAAGATGGCCTTATTCTTTTTATTTCATTAACAGATTTCTTAACTGTTACCCTGGATTTTATCTGTAACTAAAGGTTTTTCTCATATCTTTTTATTGCTACATGACTATAGCTATCAACAACACCACAGATTCTTATGTTGGAATGGAACATTTTCTTGGATGGGATGCTGATGACAAGGTATTGTAAATAACAATATTGAATTTGATATTCATTAATTGCAATATTTAGAGAGGAAGTCACATAAGCCTTAGCTGGTTTTCATGTAGGTCCTCCATCCTAGCCGTATTGGAATTTGGAGAGTTGGTTTTGTGGAGGAAAACTGGAGAATTAATTGAATTTTGATCTGTCTAGGAGAAAGAAACTCCTGAGGGAACTGAAGTTAAACAAGAATCCCAAAGTTACCAACAGCTTGTTGACTTTCTACTGGCAGATCAGGTATGGTAAAGTCTGCATACAAGCCAAGTGGCCCATCAGGCCAGAGCTTATCCCTGTTTCTGTAGCATGAAGCAACTAGGACTATTTCTACGCCCCCCTGGATGGGATGTACTAGTTCATCGCAGGGTTACCTCCCAGCATTTAATTCGCTGGTACCCCTTGTTTATACACCTGGGTGGAGAGAGGCACTGTGGGAGTAAAAGTAATAGTCTTGCCTTAGAACACAACACATTGTCCTCTTCCAGAGCAGCTTGAACCAAGATCTGGATCTTTAACCTACAGTTCTCTTAGGCTGTCTCCTTTTGTCCTCCTTGGAAATTGAATTGGGCAGTTTCAAGATGGGAGTTTATTTTGTTACTTTATATATTCATTTGGTAATCTCTGTTTAATTTTCTGTTTGAATTAGACTGTGCGTGTGGTAGAAGCTGCCTCTGCTTTGGCCCGTAAAGTCCACTTGTATGAATTATTAGCACTTTTCCAGAAAACAGTTGACAAGTAAGTGACCATGCTGCATCTTATCTAAGCATTTTTTTCCCATGACAAATTGAGTTGAGGTGGTGGGGGAGGGGAGGGGGTGTGCTCCTTGAAACCCTTACTCTATTTCAGACTGAGATTTGTGATTTTTTTGTACCCAATTTCAGACCTGACCCAAAATTTGAATGTTTAGACCTTAAATATAACCTTAAAGAAGCAGCTTCTTCTAAAATCACAAGAGTCACAAATGAAGCTCTATTTCAGACCAAACTGGTTATAATCTACACCCCATTTCAGACCAAAAAGCACTCAAAACTATATCCTTTGTTACAGCACTTACCTACATGTTCCCCACATAAGGGAGTCCCCCCAGAATGCACCCAGTCCATTTTCTACATGTCTATTGTACATGTATGTTCATTCACCCAGTCCATCTGTTGGTCTGTTGGTCCATCTGTTCATCATCCATCCATCTGTCTGTTGTGGATCATCGTCCATCAACCAACAGTCATTGATAAATTCATCAGTTACAAAAGAGCTCTGAAAATAATAATCTACTATTAATACTGTATTCACTCTTTGTGCAGAATTGTTGAAACTACTCCTAGTCCTAGACCTCCAGATGCGGAAACTGATTCTGCCGGCGAGGGAACTGACAGAAGGGAGACAACTGATATCATGTCACCTGACCCTGACATTGCCATGGATACATCAGGGGTGGTCCCTGGAGAGCACGATCAAAGTCTTGATACTGAAAAGATAGAGATAATAGCAAGCACTCTGGAGGAGATTTGTACATTCCTTAATCAGGCCCAACACTTGATAGTAAGTGCTTTATTTCTGGTAACCTGTATGACATTGCTAATGTGCTACAAGGATGTACTGAGCACAAAGAATGCCCTGATTTATGAAAATCATATGCGAGCGACTGTAACGCTGGAACAAAAATTGTTGATGCATAATAATGAAACTGCTAAAGAAACCCCAAAGACGCAGAATATGGCAAAACATCTTTTGTTACTCATGGTGATGTCAGCATGCTTTGCAATGAAAAAGGAATCCACAGTAAAAGAATGAAATTTATCAACATTTTTTGTAATGGACAAATGCATAGCAACACTAAGTTGCTGCATGTACCATCATTGCAGAATGTAGAACTGAGAAAAATACTTGAAAACAACAATATGAAGAACTTACGGGAGAAAGTTTTGTGTATCGTGGGAAACATCATTTTTTTAAAAGAAAAATTGTAAAGAAACAATACAATGTATTCTGTGTCCAATTGAAGCTGTAGCTTTTTAGTTCTATGACCACAACTATGATATGAGTGGTAAGTACAAAGTGTTGTTTTTTTACCAGGTACAGTCTCCTGTGAAGGCATTTCCCACCTCAGCCAAGATCACAGGATTTGACACCTCCCCCAAGGATCCCTACCCAGTATTGTTCCACCTCTTTAAGGCTCGGTAAGCTAGATCCAAACCAGTCTCACGACGGTGTCGGTAATTATTGACAGAGACATAATGGTCTGGTGAGTGTGCTGAATTCCAGCTTCAGAGTTCCGGATTTGATATCATGGTGCATGGTTTAGTTCCATGAAACTGTTAAAGCAATCTGGAAAAAAAGCGACAGGCTAACTAGTGAAGGTTTAACATAACATTCAGCCGGAGCAACCAAAGTGCTGCCTGTGTGTCCCAACTTGGTTTCCTAGCAGATTTGAAATATGGTATTTGAAATACATGTAGTTGGTAAAGATTTAAGTATTGGCAAAACTTTCCTCCATTTCAAGGGTAGCTTTTACAACAGTGCTACTGTTAGGTCCATTTTAAGAGTTCAGTGTCTGTATGGAAGGAGGTCCTTATAAAAATAAATAAGGAATGGCTTGAGGGTTGTTTTAACATATTTTTCTTTCCCTTTTTCCAGTCGTCTGCTGGAATCTATTTTGATTGTGATGTCTTCAACAGCCGGATGTCATCCTTCAGTTTTTGCTCCCATCAGAGACATTTTCTTTTCATTGCTGCAGTCACAGAGAGGTACAGTACATTGTATGATTCTGTTTTGCCAGTTAACCTTGCCATTATGGTAACATCTCACTCTTAATTGTGTGGTTTGCAGGGTTGCTGTTTCTGTCATCACATCCTGATACAATCAATGGTCTAATTCGTGTCCTTACTCAAACAACTGTGAGTAGTTTGTACATAGAAATTTACAGGTTTTTGTTTGTGTTCTTCTTGTGTTTTCTTTGTGTAGTCAATGTGATTTTGATTTTGAGTCTGATTTCAGGAAGCTGACATTCACCACAGTGATGCAGCTCCACTGAATGTAAGTATTTATTTTTAAACAGACAAGTAAAAACTGTTAAAACACATCAAACAAGAGTTAATTAGTTTTAACTCTAAAAGTAATTAAAACTAATTAATTTATAATTATTGAGATGGTGGCCAGCAAAATGGTGGGTTTTTTTGCAGTTTTGTCTACACCCGTACTGTGTGAATGATGTTGTATACTTAAGATCTTTCAGTAATTTCATCATCTTTCGTAGAAATTTCATTTATGTGGGGGAATGATCATAATCCAAAACCAAAATACATGTACACGTAACATTCTAGACAACGAAGTAAAATGTCTCAACTTGAGGTAAAAAGGAACAAACAAATTCTAGTGGAGTTCTATCCTCAAGATTATGGACTGCTGTTTATTTTATTACTGTATTTACTTATTTCCTGGATCAAGGAAGTACATGTCTATTGTATCACTAGATGTACTGATCCACATTTGATTTATTCCATGTTTTTATATTTCCAGGAAATCCTAAGAGACACTACAGTAGCAGACGCTTGTACTCCTCAACATCTTGGACTTCTATTGATTTATCATTTACAGGTGAAGATACAAGATAAAATTTGACTAAGTCACTACATGTACAGCCCAACCCTTATTAAACGCCAGCCCTATTAGGCAGTCAGTAATCAAAGTCCTGATGAGGGCTTTTCTAGCTATTGTTTTAAGCAGCCAACCTCTTTTAAGCGGCCACTATCCATTTTCCCACGGGTGGCCATTTAATGGGGGTTGAACTGTATTGCAAAGCATCTTAATTTGCTGATTGTGAACAATGTGTATAAGGGTTAATAATGTTATTTCCCTCGTGATCCTTTGTTATAGACTCTCCAAGCTGTAGATCAGTTGCTGACTTCTCTATCTCCAGGTACACTGTATGTCAACTTTTGGAAAAAACTGTGATGTGTTAGATTTCAGCATAATATTATTATTGTGCTGAGAACTTTGGAGGAAGAAAATAAAATAGCAGGTCTGAGGCGACTTCTATGAAGCTTTTGAAACCTCTGAGGAGTTTTCATAGCTTACCTAATTATAACTGCTGTTATGTAGGTGCTTCATGTCACTTCATTTCCTGACTGCAAAGATCATTTACCATTACAAGACTTTCATTTTCATTCATTGAACAATCGTGTTTGTTTTAAAACATGTCGGTAAAATGTGACCTGTCTTTTTTTTGTTGTTGTCTCTCAAGTTACATTGTATAAAGGATGAAGAGTAACAGTGCAGTTATTACTTACCATAATTTGCAAACAATGTATTATAATTGATGACTGACAATAGCTTTTTCTTCAAGGTTTGCTGCCAAATGATATGGATGGTGCAGACACTTTGTCTACTTTACATACTCTCTACTCCATGACTTTTACTGCAATTGGTGAGTGCTAAGGACAAGCTGGCATCGTAGCAGGCTGTACATGTAGCTCTGGAAGTATCAAGAGTCATTGTGACATTCTACTGTCATTTTTGGTGGGACTGTACTTTCAGTGTGTTGCCCTTTGTGGGAATGCTACTTTGGTATTAGAGTTCCAGACTGTTTTAAAGGCAAGGTGTTCAAAGGGACATTCCATTGGGTCAATGGGTTTTAGTTCTCAAATACCATCAGCTGTTTTCCATTGACCTGTTAGGTCAGGAAGCAGATTTTCTTGGGTTTTTGACCCAAGAACCTCTGTTGTCTGGAACACTGTACTTTCATGGGACTGTATGTTCACAGGGTTTTTGCTTTAGGGGATTCAACCTTAATGGGACAACCAATTTCAGGGGGTTGGCACCTTTTGTGGGTCTGCCGCTTTCAGGTTCTACTTCAAAGGTGGTCACTTATTTTATTAGCATGACCCTCAACAGCTGGTTCAAAGTGAAACAATCTAAGTAGTAAATTCATCTTTCCAATTTTTTTTTGTTTACCAGGTAAAGCTGCAGTGATTTCTGTTCTCAGTCTGGACACTAATCTTAGGTCCCTACTGCCATTTGTGGAATCCACAGGTAAGTGCCTCACCTTCTCTGTGGCTGTTAAACATTTCTTTTCCAATAGTCTGTTTACAGATTGCTTGATTGATTGTCATTCAGTCCTTCACTGTTAGTTGTGAGAATTCGGTGATACACCAAGACTTGTACAGGTAGTATCCTCTGGTGGTCTTGGCTTCTATCACCCATGCGCCTGTATTGAGCATTACATTGCTTTATGAAATGTTCAAGAAATCACATTTTCTACTTTTGCCAGTGCGTGTTGCATTGCCAGTATTTTTTTGGGCATGAATCATCGTGACTGCACATATCTGTGTTTCTTAGACAAGTCATGTTTTGGTTTATTTTGCATTTTGATTAGGAGATGCAAAAGATGATGCTAAATTAAAGAAGTGTGTCTCCACAAGATATGCCACTGTGTTGATTCTTTTAACAATAAAATGTGAGTATTATAAGTCCTTTCTACTGAATTTTTTATGTAGTTTTAGAAAAGATTGCTACATATCAATCAATTTGGCTCTGTTCTTGTGATATATGTTTGAAAACTTGTTTTCCTTGGCAGTGTCCGAGAATGTTGAAATGTTATCAAAACTGGCTCCAAGACTCTCAGCTGTCACTGCAAGAGGTAAGAGTTTATCAGAATGAACATATTACCATTGATGTTATTAATGTATTGAAATTATGATCAATAGGCTTTGGGACAGTAAACAGCATTTATATGTGAAATAATTTAATGTTCTGTCTGTTAATTTTATTGCTTTACTCTGCTGTCCATTTTGAGTTTTGAGTTTTTCTTTGATTATTGATTATATCTTTTACTATTTTCTCTCAGTGGATGCTGATTCTTCAATCACTGAACTGGGCCACTGGTTGGTCGCACTGAAGGACATCAAGTTTGATATGTCAAGCATCACCAAATTAGTGGAATTTGTGAAAAGGTAGTTTTTTGAAAAGTTAACTGAAGACAAAGTCTGTGTCAGATTTCTTTACGTTTTCCTGATATTACGTTCTGACAGCAGCTACATGCACTTGATAGCTTTTTGTAGATATGTAAATATCCAGAATCCAGAATCTGAAACAAATTTTGGAAAGACTCTTTTAGTGAACTATCTTCATAAGTATTGAAATACCACTTGATTGTGCTAGTCAGGCAAACCATCATTCAGTTGTGGTCAGCGGCCTGGCCCCAGTTTTTTGAAGGCTGGATAGCGCTATCCACCGAATAAATTGCTATCCAGTTGTGTAACGTCAAACCATTCTGTTTTTAGTTGGGAGACAAGATGTTGTTCATTCACAATATAGCTAACTTGTTTCTGATTTCATTGTCTTTAGCCAGTTAAGTGAGATTAATAACACTCCAAGCATAGCCTGTGGAGTGTTGATGGCTCTTAGAGTTCTCAGATATCTTGGCTGTCCAGCTGACAATTCAAGTGTTGGTGAAGGTAAGTTTCGCTGGGTCTTGTGAAGTGTACTAGAGTGGATTTTTCATGGCAGTTGTTCAAGTAAAACTTATCGTTGCAGTATTGTAGACAACCATAGCTTCCCATTCATGACCGAAATCTTTTCTCTGGAAACATAAACACTAGGCTAAGGTTTTCTGAACGTTTAGTTAGGCAAATTTGGTGTCATTTATGCGGTTAGTCTTTTGCGAATCATGTAATTGACAATTCAGAACTTGAAGTACAGAGATGAAACTGTTATGAATCATGGAAGGAGCATAGCGCAAGTCTGAGTTTATTTAGTTTTATTTTCTGAATGGCTGAAAAAAGAACCCTCTTTGAAAGGTGAGAGCATGTAGTGTAACCTTGTTAAACCAAACTTGCTGAACACAAAGCAAAGCAAACACGTTAATCAGGATTTATGATGAGTGGGAAAAAATAACTTTACAACAAGTCGCTCTTGGTTGACTATCTATCTAGTTTGTGCGCGTTTGGTTTTTTAAGGTGAAAAGATATTTTTTGTCACCTTGCTTGTTTTGAAAGCGATGTTTCCTTATTTATTCACCTGTGAATTTTAGATCCACGATCAGATCCAAACAAATACATTTTGCCTTAATTTGCTGACCGTTATTTCAATTAATTGATTTTGAAAAATTATTTCAATTCCTTTCCACATTGCAGTAGTTCAGAAAGATTTGAACCAAAACCTAGCTTGTATTGAGTTGTTCTCTGCAAATGCCATGGATGTCTTCATCAACANAAAAAAGAACTCTCTTTGAAAGGTGAGAGCATGTAGTGTAACCTTGTTAAACCAAACTTTCTGAACACAAAGGAAAGCAAACACGTTAATCATGATTTATGATGAGTGGGAAAAATTAACTTTACAACAAGTCGCTCTTGGTTGACTATCAATCTGGTTTGTGCGCGTTCGGTTTTCTAAGGTGAAAAGATATTTTTTGTCACCTTGTTTGTTTTGAAAGCGATGTTTCCTTATTTATTCACCGGTGAATTTTAGATCCATACTCAGATCCAAAGAAGTACATTTTGCCTTAACTTGCTGACCGTTATTTCAGTTGATTGATTTTGAAAAATTATTTCAATTCCTTTCCACATTGCAGTAGTTCAGAAAGATTTGAACCAAAACCTAGCTTGTATTGAGTTGTTCTCTGCAAATGCCATGGATGTCTTCATCAACACGTTTCAAAAACTCGGGGAGTTTCTTCTGCGGCCTTGGAGACAGGGACAACCCCTGCACACTGGTCCACCCCTAGTCATGGTCTCCATGGTAACACCTCTTCTGGCATTGGTGAAAACTCTATTGATAGAGCTGCTAAACAGCGGAAAGTACCAGTTTAAAGATGCAAGGCTTATGAAATCGCTGATGGTACTTCACACAGTGATGTGCACGGCTCCCATGACAGGACAGCTAAGCAGTCTTGCCCACAAGGTGTGTGGAAAAACATTTTAGGGGGGGANCTAATCACCATTCTTTGCGGAGATCACTGTACTCTGGCTTTTCTTCTTTCTGAACCAGATGGATCTTAGACCTCTCCAAACTGGCTGATACGTGACGTTTGTCATGTTTACTAGCTGGCTGGACTGCTAAGTCCAGTGTTTAAAGCTAGTTGGCGCCAAGCTAACGCCGCGAATTAGTTGTGAAAGAATTCAAGAATTCTTTGACCAGACATCTCCACATATCATCACTTGTTCTTTGTTGTTGACGATGGTTCGCTTGCACATCATGACATTAGTAATATGTTTGCCTTATTTCTTATTTACCTTTCCTATTTGTTTTTCAACAGGCGTTTTTAGGAGGACTTGTTCTGCTGTCCGAACTGTTACCGATACCATTACCTATTCGCTCTTTGGAGGTATGTTAGTTGGAGTCTAATACCTTCCTCGCTGGGAATACTGTCTTCAAACATTTTCAAGCCTGGAGATTTTGCCCGAAACGTTACGTTATTCAGGTTTAGGGTGATTATGAAAGTGTTGTGATTTTGCCCTATGTGATTGTCGACTTCTTTATCGACGGATGCCACCAGGGTTCGCACAGGTCATGGAAAACCTGGAAAGTCATGGAATTTGTTATTTCAATTTCCAGACCTGAAAAGTCATGGAATTTAAGTGAAGGTCATGGAAAGTCACGGAAAAGCAATATGCTTGGCAAAAAGATTTTTAAAAACTGAAAAAATAATAGACCAGTCAGAAACAGGCTTTAATTTCAGTAGAAATAGACACAAGCACACATTTTATGCATTATAAGGCTGGAAAATACGTTAAATAAATGATTGTTTTCTGATACTGCTGTGAGAACAACTGCTTAACTTTAGTCATGGAAAACTCCAAAAGGTCATGGAAAAGGTCAAGGAAAGTCATGGAATTTTAAAAGTTTCAAAGAATACGAACCCTGGCCACATACCGTACGGCGGCAAAAAATTGACGTTACCGACGCGACACATTATGGCGGGAGAACACCGCTCGTTATGTGCGTTATGTGTAAAGATTCTCCAACCTCCTGATTGGCTGTTCATGACGTGGGGAGAAGAGGTTCTTTTGCGTTGCCACAAAGTTATGTCTAAGGAGTTGAGTTGCTTCACATTTTTGTTGTTTGTTATTTTGCTTTGTTAGGACATGTCTCAAGAAGAAGCGAACCAGGTGATGAATCACCGCCGGCTGTGGAGTGCACATCTTAATCCACTCAGTACTGAGTTACAGGGGATTCTAAAGGATCTAGCAGGTACGACTCTTATAGACAAATGAATTATTCCTAGCTGTTCTGTCTAGAAGACCTCACGCAAAATTGTAAAGTGGTAATTTAACAATAACTGTTTGCAGCCGCTCTAAATCCTTCACAATGTTACAGAGCAATTTGGAAGTTCTTAGTGGAAGTCAATTAATTGGTCAGTGTGAGCTAAGTTATGGGTTTGGTTGCAGCCTAGAAACCGCTTTTACCAGCAAGAGCGTTATCTTTTTTGTAAGGGTTTGAGTGATTGGTCTCCGCCGCATACCCTATGTGAAGTTTTTCAGTAGCTCTTTTTGTCGTTCTTTGCAGGATCAGCGTGTCACAACCTTCAGCAAGTGATGAGGAGAGTTTGTTCGCAGCTGTCAGACCTGTCTGCACCCACTGCCTTTAATATCGTCAGGTAGGCCCTACATCCACTAAACGCTTGGAAGTCTTTCCTCAAACAAGCACTAGAAAGCAACAGAATTTGTGACTACTCGGGCCAAAGGCGAGTGATTAGCAACTTCGTCTTATTTTCTGTGGATTAATAAGCAGAGTAAGCAGAAAGGGATGTTGCGAGAGGCCTAAGTACCAACCGTCCACTCGACTAGCAACTGATTCATGTTTTTGTGTGAACCTTTATCAGAACACTTCTGGAAACACTGGACAGCGAGATGAATAAATCAAGTGGAGAAGAAAACAGGTAAGGATGATACTCTTTAGTTTCCGTCCTCAATACCCCAGATTTTGCGCTGTGTTAGTGACACCTCTATGGTTGAAAAGGAACCATCCCCTGCGATGCTCTTCGCCCTTTGCTGCACTTGTTTTTGTTGTCGCCAAGCAGACTTTGAAGACGTCAGTACGGTAGTGGGCTCTGCAAAAAATCGCTTGATTAACGTCATGCAGTAACATCTTTCAGTTCTGGAAAGGAGAGAATGGGAATTAGATATTGGAAGAAAGACGCTGTTTTGATTGTTACTTACCGTGCGTTTTGTGTTTCTTGTTTTGTTGAAGCTGTACCGGGGGAGGGGTACGTATCATGACCCTGTTGGCTTATTTGTCATCCCAGCCAGCTGTAAAAGTGTCGCTTCTTCAACTTTTGAAAACAAGGTAGGTGATCAACATGCAAAACACCGGTCAGTAGAAAATCATCTTTGCAAAAGAATGAGGAAAGTGATGGACTTGATTTTCTGTTTACAGTGGGAATGCTAAGAACGATGACTTGTTGTTTCCCAGTCTCTTGCCGTCCATGTTATCATGTTTGAAGGGCTCCTCGGAAAATCAGCTGGTGTCCAGGTCTCAGTACTGTGTTGTGGTATGGAACTTTCTGTTGTTAGCAAAAGCATTTGTAGATTTTAATAAGCAATTCTGTCTGAAGATCAAAAATCGCTCCCTTGGGTTTGAATTCAGTGATTATTAAAAGGGCAGTGTAGCAAACTATATTCGATAAGATCGAAACTGATCGTGAATTGACTTGCAAGTTTACATGTTTACAATTTTCACATGTTTTCCCTCCCTTCCCGTCGGTTACATGTTTTCCCGCGCTTTTCACTGCGCTGGTCCCTGGCTGCATGTTTTCCTGCGCTTGTCTCCAGCTATATACGTTTTTCTGCCCTTGTCGACAGAGTTGTAACATGCTTTGTTTGTTTCGTTTTAGTCCATCGTACAGTCCCTGTGTGATCCCACAGTGAGCCTGATGCCGTTTGAAACTCCATTCACTGACCAACATGTAAGTTATTTTGAAATGTTGTCTAAATTGTATAACTTTGGTGCTAAATAAGCTATCCAGTCAGAATTTCGTCATGAGGCCAGGCTTGTTACCACAGTGTTGCTTAGTAATATTTACGAAAAGACGTTATGGGGATTCGGACCATGGAATCCCCCTCTTCTGTCGGTTGCTTGGAGCTGTAATTTAATAATTTGTTATTTTTGTGGTCATTGTTGTTTTTTAATAGCTGGCCAATACCCTGCCGGACAAGGAAATGCTGGAAGTTATCTGTGCAGCGTTGTTAGAACACATAGGATCAGAGCAGCAATCATTTGCCACCATATTGCTTGCTCTGAGAACCTTGTTGACTCTGACGGAACACAATTACGGCGTCTATCATCAGAAAATGTACGTAAAAGTGCTTTAATAGACCTTACCACGGTGTTAGAAGCCATCTTGACAGTTGAGCAACAGTGTCAGACATTTCAATGTTCATACATATGCCTCTGATTTTTTTCCGCGAACTTGTACGCGGCTTGTAAGTTCGCGCCACTTCACGTGTTGCCTACCCGTCAAGATGGCTTTCAAGCCGTAATGTCCGTATAGGGAGCTCTTTACCTTTCGCACTAGAAGGAGGTTTTCACGGAAGTTATGTTTCTTTTTTTATTCAGAGCGCTGGAGAATAACAGTGAAGTGTTTTATCGACTCCTTAAAAGACTATCGTCCTCTTTTGAGTAAGTTCATACGGGTAAATAACGTTGCCTTTTGATAAACCGGGGGGCTTGCATGTTTGGTTACTGGATTTTTTTAGCGCTGGTGAACAAAATCTTGAGAGATTTGTCACAAGTGTGTATCCCTTCCGTACCACAAAATGGAAAAGGAAAACCCTGTTGCTGTTTTGTTGATCATAATTCACACTTTCTTTCAGTTGTCAAACTACGAAGGAATTCAAGCCAATCTTGTAAGCTTGCACGTCGCCTTCTCAATGTCCATACTGCACTAACTGCAGTCTATTTCTATCCTCGACAACGTTTGTCGTAACCGCTTCCTAATGGGTCCCTGTTATTTCCAAATTACTTTTCTACATGAAGAAATCATTATTGGCAGGTTTCCTACGATTTAGGCGTGTTTCAGTGTTTCAATCTTTTCAAATCGCGCTAACATTTACTGTTTGCATGTGTTTACCCAGAAATAGCATTCCAGGCCCAGACCACCTGTCTACGCTATCAACAACGATTGAACTGTTGCAGCTGCTGCTACCCGAGGACTCTGCTGAGGTGATTCCGGATCAGGAAGATGAACCCATGGAAGAAGAACCCCTGAAACGAACCACTGAAATCAGCATCAGCGCTGTTCAGATGAGAACCTTCCTTAAATTCGAGAGTGAGGATGGCCCCCTTAAAACTTTGGAGAAACGGCTCGAGGTTTGTGATTCCCTTTTGATAATTTCAGTAAATCGATCGATCGATGAGTTAGTCAGTGAGCGCTATGGTGTGTAATAGGCAATTAGAAAATTTGCAGAAACCCTGGAAAAACTGTTTAGTAGAGTGCGCCAAATCGCCTGACAGACAGAAGCGGGGAAGACGTTTTCACACGAATACCGGTAACTCTTCTCAGACGTGTTTCCGTCTTAAAGGATTACTCGTCATTAATGTTAAAATGGAACGGATTCAGTCTTACACCGATGAGCGTGTGGTATCCTTATCCGTTTAGCTGTCTGTCTACATTGTGGTTAATAAGACGGATTAGAGCACACGACTTATCCGTTTAACATTTTAATCGGCTCAGTCTTTTTCACTGCCGGGCTATAATAGGAGAAGTTGTCTGTCTCACTGACGAGTTATAGAACGGAGGGCTTATTGGTGTGAGGATAGTTGTAATAATTCGTTTTTGTTTTTGTTTTGCAGGAAAGTTGTAAGGAGGATGAAGCCCTGGAGCCGTTGTTAGATGCGGTTCGAGTTTTGACAGTCATGCTGCGTAAAACAGAAGGCGAGAGCGACAAAGAACCAGGTAACAGACAGTTTCCTTTCTAGCCGAAATGTAAAGGATTTTTCCAGTAGTGTTATGGCTGCATTCGCAGCTATCATCATGTCTAGATTTACCGAGGGCTTAACCTTCTCCAATCTGGAGTAGCGGACCCATAGCAACAGACCAAAGCTAAACAAACATGTGTCATTCTGGGGAACAGAATGACGAACTCAAGCAATCAAACGCTACGAAGCTCTTTTAGAAAAGAGAGGCAAACCCTGAACTTGCCCAAGACTGTTGAGTGCCGCAAAACGTTCACGTGTTATTTTTGTGTTATGTACAGAGGAAGTCACTGAGCCGCAACTGCCAGCTCCACTTCCGCTTCAGACGCTGTTCATCAAGAGACTGGCGTTCATTGCTGGTGAAGTCGAGGATGGGAGGGCTAGTCCAACATTGTGGTACTCCACCCCTCCCCCGGATGATATCGACCCGGAAGCTGATCTGGTATGTGTCAATGTCACTTGTACAATCAATGTAACGAAGTCATTTCCTGTAAAATTGTTGCTGTGTTGAAAACTCATTGAATCCTTCACAGTTACCCCGCCCTAACCCACACTTAATTTTAGCAGGATTTGTTCTGATCTTTATCGAGATGCCTTGGTGCTGAAAGATTCGTAAGCTTAAGCGGCCGTAATACTCTCCTAACTCTTGCTACAAAAAATGTATAGAGATCTGGAAGGACCATTTGTTGATATCACAATTCTACGTTTGGCTGTCTTGTATCTTAAAGCTTGGACGTAAAGAATATACTACTAACTAGTGAATGATTTTACAGATAAAAAGCAGCGTTGATTCACTGACGGAGAAGTTCTGTCCCGACTTTGACCTCAAGGCCGAGTTGGAGAAGGGACTGGTGCCCTCTCCCCCAGGTTCCCCGACGCGCAAGAAAGGTTACAGGTGCGATACCTTTACTATGCTGATTTCAATTGAAAAATCGGAAAACATTCATTTGTTAATTTGTTGTTGTTCATTTAGGAACAAGAGGAAGTACGATCCGTTGATATCTGGTCAGCGGAAGGATTATAAGAAAACTAAAACAGGTTTGTTGCAAGTTTTTTGAAGTTTTTTTTCCCAAAGGCTATTTTACTTTAACAAGAGAACGTAAGTTGCGGTGCTCAAGAGAGGCTAAGGGCAATGTGCAAGTTTCTGATTCATTATTGAAAATCATTAAGACAACACCAGTTCTTGGGAATATTTTAGTCAAGCGTCTTTTGTTGAATTGTGTTGATCACAAGAGCGAGCACTGTCGACCTCTTCCAAAGCTGCTTATCAGCTTTATTAATACGTTCTTCAACCCAGCATGTCAAGTAAATTGTCAGGCTTCGTACCGATTTCCTATATCTTCTTCATCCTGTCTTTTTCCGTAGTTACCACAGCACCAATGCGTGGCGGCGGCCGCGGGATGAGAGGGATTCCTCGTGGACGAGGCAATCCACGCATGAATGACATGTTCCGATCACGTAAGCAAAACACGAGCCGTCCACCCTCCATGCACGTGGACGACTTCATGGCCATGGAGCATGCCAAGACCCAGGACTCGCCGCCACCTATGAGGAGGACTGGTCCTAAGGTATATTCAACAAGCTTTCTTTTGATAATTTGGTGCTGCTTTGTTCTAAAGTACGTCTGTGGCCAATCAGTTCCGGAAAGAACAGTTTGATGATGTTCTTTGGAAGTCGCATTTGGTTATAATAATGAGTTTTATAGAAGTTGTTCGTTCTGCACCACGCGGCTTGACATTTGTGTTTTGCGATTTTGCAGGGTCCTCCACCAGGTAGGTCGATGGACCATGGTCCAGGGAGCTTCATGGGGAATCAGGGCCGTTGGACCGCCATGCCAGGGGGACCCCTTCGTAAAGGTAGCACGGCCTAGTACGGAACATAAGAGCTGTTTTGCACTGTGACAATATTAATCAAGTACCAGTCTTACAGAATCACTTTTTTTCTTTTCCATTGAGGTCCTGGGATGGAAAATCAAGGAGGAATGCGCGGTGCTGGGCCCGACTGGGTTAATCCTCGGCAGCACCCAATTGGAGCCTTCCCTGGACAAAGGAACTTCCAGAGAGGGTAAAATTAATCTCATGAGGTGCAATCATACCGTTACACCTACAATTTAAAGGTTGATAAGACTAGCAACAGAGCTGAAGAGAAAGGTTTGCTCTCAAGGAACTTTGACTTGGCGCTTGAACGTTCTCCAACGACCTCTCTTACATGTAAACACGGAGTGATCCTAAATAACGAGGCTGAGGTGTTCAGCCTGCCAATCACAAATCCCAACGGACGACCAATGCTCCCATTTTAGCGCGTTGCCTTTTAGGAAAGCAATTTTTGTTTTCATTGCATTCAGCCATGAGTCTTCCTTCTCCTTTCTAACGTCAATATTCAGGCGAAAGCTCACTTTGCCATTTTTCAAGTTCTCTTGTTTCGTCTTAGTACTGTTTGTTTCCAATTTCTTCGCTCTGAATATAGTTTGAGGAATAACTCAGCGTTGTTCAATTTGCATTTTGTTTGCACCATCATTACGCTCATAAATCTGAATAATTGTAAATATCCCATCAAAATCCGGCTGTGTTCACAGGCTAACCAAAATCACCTCTCAAGAGATTTGTTTTCGTTCTCGACATGCTGAGATCAATGGAAACAGATAGCTCGTTGATCGCAGGCATCAGCTTTGTTATTTTCGTTAGCGGCGAAATTTTAATGTTCCGTGAAGTGACGAAGATAATTCATCGTTTTTGGTCTTCCAAAGGCATCTTCTAAAGTGTTAATACAAGTTTTACTTTCAATGTGTTTTTACTATTTACCTTATATTATTCTACGTAAATGACTCCCTTGTTTTAACGAAAAAAAACGCTATTTCTCCACGACTTCTATGTTATGCGACCGTTATTTCGGCTATCCACCATTGCACAATAAAGCCAACAAAGTGCTTCAAAGGTGGCTTGTCCTTGCCTTTTATAGGATCGCTCCGTTAAGCGGGGAACGGGAATTCCCTACCGCTCTTAACACTCTTTGGTGCTGCTCCTTGTACACCACAGCAAGTCTAGCTGGTTTGATTGTGTCAGGGCTTATCAGTTATTATTTCCTTTATGGTATTTCTGTACAATGTTTGACGTCGCGCTTGGTTTATTTTCTGTTTCATCCTCTTCAGACCTGATTGGGGATCACAGACTCCACAGCCGTACAGAGGTAGCGTTATCATTGTTCACCTTTACCATTTACTTGTATGATTACTTTCTTGAGGATGAATTTATTTAGCTATGTAAACAGCGTGCAAGAGAGGAAGATCATGACAATCCTCATTGTCTTGTTGTGTAACCAATTTCTCAGAACTAAGCGCAAAGGCAGTGTATGGCAGTCAGAAGGGAGAATTAATATTTCGATCCTGTTTGGTTTTCAGGTGGAGGAGGAATGAGAGAAAACTACAATCGACCACAGATGCGAGGATACTGGGACGCGCCCAAATCTAAAGACGACTCGAGGTATGAAATGCTATTTCTTATATCCATTTGCTCGTTTGTTCTTTCGTTCGTTCGTTCGTTTACTCGCTCCCTCGCTTACTCGCTCGTTCCGTTCGCTCGTTCGTTCGTTCGTTCGTTCGTTCGTTCGTTTAATAGTTAAAAAAGCAACTTGTTGCCCGGAGTTTTCGTTCATTTGACCTTCGGTCAGGATACGAACAACCTTGGGAAGCTCTGATTGGAAGTCGAAATTATCGGACTTCCGGTTGAATTGCGCGTGCCTAGTCGAAAGACACTTGGCTCAATCGAGTCGTCTAGTGTTTCACTTCCGCTCTTTTCCATTTTGTTTAAAACCAATCAAAACCGAGCCTGCAACGGAACTCTCGAGAGTAACTCTTTTTATCAAGCTTGCGCACTCGAGGAACGATACTTTTTAGACAGGGAATGTAACAAAAGTTTAATTAACATACTGCTTTCTGATTCTGAGATCTTCTTCGCCCCCGCAAGTATTGCCCCACCTTCAGATTCAGACCTTGTGTTATCTGTTGTAGTTTGTTAATATCAAACTGCGACACTTACTTTTACAATCGCCCCTAAGTTGTGTTTTGTTCTCTTTAATTACTAGGTTCATGCCCCCACCGAACGTTGGAGGATATCGTCCAGGGGCAGGGAGAGGCTACCCAGGCAGACATATGAGGTCATTCACACGCTAGTTCAATAGTGCTTTCTGATTGGTCGATCGACGCACTGACTGAGAAACCCAGTTCTTTTGTGTTGTTATTTGAGTTGATGTGAAGAGAAGAGAACACCAATACGAAGCTGCTTGTTTGTAGAACAGCAAAGATTAAGTTTATTGTACAAATGATAACAACACAATGACATGTAATGTTGCATTAAATAGACTTATCGAGCCATTAAAATATTTGTGCCAATAAAATTCTGAAAATTTCCCATTAAATTTACAAAGCGAATGATTCTGTTTACATAAACTCCCTTTGAGCTTCAAGACTTTCTAGTAAGTTGCGTTGTTTGTGTTTAATTTAGCCTTTTCCTGTCTTTTACTAAACGCTTAGAGCTGTACAGTCCTTCAAGAAACACTGAACCGTCTAATAGGTCTGCAACAATAAAACGTTTTCATCCAGCGTGGTGTCGGATGAAACTGTGTGATCGTTTAGCTGTTCTTTTATCAAACAATTTTAACAGCAACTCTGCGTGAAGAAATGTTTCGAGTAATTTAATCGGTCAATACAACAAGATATTACATACCAATATTTGATCGTTTAGTTAGGGCTTAATGGTTAGTCCACGCGGCTTATTTAGCTAGCTTTGGGAGCATAATAAAATTCCTAAAAAATGCGTACGCCTACAAGAAACGAACGTGACACAAACAGAAACATAATAGGCCATTTCAGAATTGCCCTTTTCCTATGTTTAAAACAAGTACTCGTGCAAACGGGTTGATTCGTAAGAAAAGAAAGTTCAGGTCCAAGTTATTTGCAATTTGAATGGTTCGCACACACTTGTTTTGACAACTCAATTGGCGGCGTCAAGAATAGTGGTAGATTCAGCGGTGTGGTAGATTCACCCAGCGGGGTGGGGAGGAGAAGGTCGGTCACTACGGGAAGATCCGCCACTACGGGAAACGACGCTTTAATCTGGTAGCAAATCATATTCAGTTTTCTGCAGGATGTTTTGGTATCCGTGCCATCTCCCTGGTACTTGCCCCCTTAAATCCTCGCGGCCACGTAAGAACAAGTACATAAGTAGATTAATATCTGTCTCGTGCCCAGCTTCTTTTCTCGGCCGGACCGCGGTACGTGTGGAATTGTGGGCATGTTATTTCACCTAGAAATTGCATCGGCGCCTGGGAACGAGGCAGGGTTAATGTGGGAGAGTCGAAATGTGGCCTTACCGTCAAAAGCGCGAATTTAAAATTAGCAAAGGAGCTCGGCTCTTTGCTCCTACGCAAACTTACAGCAATTGAAATCGAAAACCGCAATGTGCCGTCCAGTAGGTTGTAACATTGCATTTCCTGTTACCCTCTAAAGTGGTCCCGCTTTGTCCAAAGTTCTGCCGTTTGCAAGCCTTTTAGTTCGAACACGGTGACGTTGAAACATCAGGAGTTCGTCTCCATGATTCCAATACAGCTCTGTTCAGAGACGACTCCTCGCTTTGAGAACGAGGCAGGACCGCGGCTTGAGCCGTGCCCACGGGACTCGGGCACCAGCTTCGGGGCTTCGACCCGCGGGAACATCGGATGTGACTGAGGATGGCGTCTTCCTCTGCGGGAGATGAGCAGCTCAGGTTTACCTGAGAATAACAAAATATACCATGTGTTTTAATTTATTACCGTAAACTCCCGGTTATAAGCCAAACCCCCCGGATATAAGCCCCCCTCCCCCACCGATATAAACCCCCTCTATCTTTCCTTATTTTAAATTTGTTTTATGATGTTTTTAAGCTTTATTACCAGCAAATGAAAAACTTGTTTCGATCAACATGTGTAGCTATAACTCGTTTCGAAACGGTGTTTTTATTCCGGTTATTAGCCCCCTCGGATATAAGCCCCTCTGTTTATAAGCTCACCTAAAACCCCTTACGAAGTTGTATAAGCCCAGGACTTACAAGCGGCAGTTAGGGTATTCCTGGTCACAAAGACCTATGAGGTCTGATGAGGTACTGTGACCTTTCCAATGCAACAAGAGTCATTTTCACTACGACAAAGTAATTTTGGCCAGAAAAAGCATTTTAGCCGCTTTGCGTGACTAAAATCGTTTTGCTTTGGTGAAGAAGCCACCAATATCAGTCCGTATGTTCCTGATTGACAGCTAAAATTTCTCCCCAAAATCAAAAGACACTGTAAAAAAGGTTTTGAGAATTAAGAAAGCATCAACTCATGTATTATTTTCTCTATTTGTGGTCATAAAAATTCTCGAATAAATATTAAAAGGCATGTGGTGTTCACTATTCCAATATTTGAAACAATTTAAATAACGAATATGTCAATGATCAGTATTTGTAGGTTGGGACAGAGTTGAAATACCACCCGAGTGCTGTTTTTAATGACTTTAGCATTTCTTGACGAGTCGTGGATCACGAGATTTGTCAACTATGTCGACTTTCCGACGCGCTTAGAGAATAATAACAAGGAATACTTCAGATTTTTCACGTCTGCTGTAGAATCGTCTGCATTGAAGAGTATTTTTACTTCGGACAAACTGAATTCGTGAATT